AGTTTTTTCGCAAACTTTTTTAATTTTTTTTTTTAAACTCAATTTCACTGCCTGTTGAATGCACTTATATAGCACGATTCTATATTTCTTTCAATATTTGTCTATTGCCAACTTAAAAACTTACACTTCTAAATTTTACAAAAAAAAAAATTATATTGCAATCTACATTTTGTAAGATTTCTTAATTCTTTTGTCATGAAATACTATTTTTAACATGATATTTCTTCGTAAAGTGGAAATATTTTATCGCAAAAATGCTAAACAAGACCGTAGTAAGTTTAGCCAACAATATAAATAATTTCCTTCTCTCTTTTTCTTTCAGTTAATTTTAACTTAACACTTCAATCTCTAAAATTCTAAAAAAAAAATTTAAAAAATACAATTTCGTTGATTACATTATCAAGTAAAAATACTTATCGCTTGGGATTTTTTTTGCGAACTCAATAAAAATCAACAATAAACAATATGGATTTATTATAACAATTATGCCGGAAAAATGTTGAAAAATGCTACAAAATTGGCGAACAGGTTAGTCCTTCTTAAAAAATACCAATTATTTTTTGGTGCGCGGACCGCGAGGAACACGGAATTTGGTCGTTACCGATGATTTTCCTCCGCTCATCCTCGCTGTGTTCGGCGATCTAAAACTTTTTTCTACCTCAGACATACAGGGTATCACATTAAACATTTTTTTTAAATATATATATTTATGCTGTTTGCTGTTAAATTCAGTCGACTTTTTGCCAAATGTATTTTATCCTTAAATCCTCAAATTAAATTAAAAATCCTTCACTTTTTAAGCATCTAAAGGTGTTCGCAAAATAAATTTCCGAGCACCGTATTTTTTCCAAATGATTAAATTCAAATTTACTTAATAAGAAGAAGTGAGTATAACAGTTCATCAACATATCATTTTCAAATTTAATTACTTTCTTCTATCTTCAAACGCGTTTTGAATTCCTTGTAAATATTGAAATACATTATAAAAATTTATAATTAACCAAAAAAATTATAAAATATAAAAATAATTATATAAAATTATATTAATTTTTTATATGTGTAAAATGTAAATAAAATTTCAAGTATAAAAAGAAATATTCAAGTCATAAAAATATGACATTGATTATAATATATACTTCCAAAAATAAAATTAAAAACTAGCACAACTATTGTATATTGTTAACGATCAGCATTCTCGTAAAAAACTCCTTTTGAATTTAAAGCTTGATCTACCTGATTTTTAAAGCATTCTTTGTTAAACATAATGAATTCTGGTATACTCTTTTTTTCCTCGTTTTACATGACCTATCTAAAGAAAAAATTTAAAAAAAGTTGCGCAGGTTGAACGAAAATGTAAAACTGAGCTGGAAAAAGTTTCATGTGTGGTCGGTTTGGTTTACAGTGGAATAAATAGTGATTTATTTTATAAACCATCAAAAGGAGCCGAGGATTTCAATGAAACGTCATAGCGCCGTATTTTCGTCGTGGATCGCCACTTTTTCAGTATTTTCCCTACCTGAAAAATCACTGTTTTTAGAATGTTATAAACCGATTTTTGAAATAATTTTTACAATAATTACGCAGATGTTTAAGAAAATTTATGCCTAAGGAAATGTAAAAAATACATTATAGTTTATGAGAAAAAAATTTATAGTTCGAAAAAACCGACAATATTTTCCTTAAATTATTAAATGAAAATTCTTATCAAATAAAAACTACACAGGAAAATTTTGTTAACTATTCGTCATACATTCCCAATCGGGCAAACAAAACAAGTCAAATTGATCGAACATTATTTGAAAAAGTGTCCCAATGTGAGGAGACTTTTTCCCATATGGAAAAGATTGGTCTTTTCTCCCCAATAATAATACAGTCTCGTTCTTTTTGGATTTATTCATCTCCTTTTTCGCAGCTAAGCTGATGTCGATGTTGAAAAAAAAAACTGCAATATCTTTAAAAAAAATTCTTAGAAAATTGCATTTTCTCCTTTGACATTCTCCTTGCTATTGATGGTGATTCCATCTCGATGGATGTCCTGCTCACAATTCATACGTAGTAAATCTTTCACGGATCACCGAGGTTCTGTTCCTTGACCACCTCGTTGACTTGATATAACCCCATTTGGTTTTTTCCTTAGGGTTATCTTAAAAACCTATTTTTTTACATTTCCTACAATAAGTAGAATGAATTACGATAAAAGATCCATGAAGTATGTTGGCGTGGAGTCAATTCAGTCCTTTAACGGATCATGAATAAAACGAGGATGGATGTGAGTCTGTGAGAGAGAAAAACAGTTTGAAGCGTTTTTTTAAGCCTGGCTGAGAAAGAAGAAAGGCAAAAGCCAAAAAGACCGAACGTCTCTACTGTTATTCTAAAATAATAGTATCCCTGAGTGATTCCGATAACATAAAACTCATTTTTCATAAAAGAAACGACTTACTTTAAGAATATGCAGCAAAAACAATTGTGTTGTATTTATAATACAATTGTTTGTGATACCCTGCATATCTGAGTTAGGATTTAAAAAAGAAAAATGCATATTTTACACACAAAAAACTCACCAACTAACTGGGTAGTGATACAAAAATGTTTTTGGGTAATAATAGACTGTAAATGGAGTAGAATGTTGCAAAAACGGTTTTTCTAATTCATTCGTCGGAAAGAGACAATATTATTTTTACATTTTTTCAGAAAAAATTAACTTTTTTATGCGTTTTTCATCAAAATTGAGGTCATTTATAAAATCTATGTTAAATTGTATGAAAAATGAGTCATCTACTGAATCTTTCCAGTCCACCTGATAGCTGTTGGCACGACAGAAAAATTTCAATATTGGAAGATATTTGACGAAATTTTTCAAAAATTCACTGCTGTGATGTATCTTATTGATTGGCGAATTTCTCAAAAGATGCGCCTTAATAAGGTTTCGAGTGGATGTTAAGTAGTATCAGTACATCCTATGTCAAAAAAGTACGATAAACCAAACAATAAAATCAAGGTTTTTCACCGAAGGAAAAGGCCAATTCGAATTGATGAAAAAAAATTATTACATGAAAATCTGATGACTACAGATCAATGTGGAATTAAACATTGACCTAAACGAATAATAACACCTCAAGGGTTTTGAAGATCACGGATTTTTTGTTTGTAGTTCGTCTCAGTTGAGTTTTCGGCGCTTAAAATAGGGGAATGGAGATGTTTCATCAGCAGTTAAAAATAAAAATGAGAACAGTAAAAGAAGAACTTTATAAAGACAGAAAAATCGCAAAATCACTAAAAATGGCGGAATGCCGAACCGCATCTGACAGAACCAAGCGAGAATAAGCGGACCAAAATGACGATTAATAACCAAATCACAACTATTTTATTGATATACCATATGATTTAATAGAGAACTAAATTGTATAATTTATTAGCAACAGAAAAAATACAGGGTTGGGTCGGTGGCCGCAACGTTTTAGTCATTGACACGGCGCTCATTACTGTAAGGTGAAGGTCCCGGGTTCGAATCCAGCGGCTGTGCATTCGAACACGACATACTTACAAATGAGATATTTTCAAAAACAACGGCACCCTGAGGGGTTATATGACCTCTGCTGTTGCAAACTCTCGAAAAAAAAAAACACATAGATAGTCGTGATTTTGTAAAAAGCCCGGAATAATTATGTTATGTGTTATTTCTTAACACTTTTTTTAATAAATAATTATCTACAAAATACGAACATATAGTTTCTTTAATTCATTTAACCTTTCTTTAATGAACGGATCCTACTCTCTTTATGTTAAAATCAAGCTTTATTTTTGACAATTTTGTAAAGATCCCATGCAGTATTCGCCTTCTAAGAGCGCCTAAGATTTTTCAGTACTTTTTCTTCTTCTTCTTTTTTTTCACTACAACTTAAAACGTAGCAATGAGGGTGATTAAGCATTGACTGTCACTAGAATTTTTTTGAGGCAATTTTTTTTCTGTCGGTGTCTTTCTTTCTCTGTCACTCCTTCTCTCTCTTTTTTACTTACTCTCCCGCTCGCTCGCTTTCTTTTTATCACTCTCTTTCCATTTCATTCACTCACGCCTTCTTTCTCGAGCGATCACTCTCACTCACTCACTTTCACTCTCTCACTCACTCACTCTCTCTCTCTCTCTCTCTCCCCCTCCCTCTATCACTCTTTCCCTCCCATTTGTTGGTGTTCACGTTAAGTGTAAAAAGACCCAAGAGACCTAAATTTGTGTTATTAAATAAAACGATCCATCAGTTAACCAATAATCTCTCTTTCATTCTCACTTTCTCCCTGTCCCTTTTGTAACTTCTATGTAGCCAGTTGTCAATGCCATGAAAGGATTTTGACCTGTGTGTTTTTTGTGTTTTTCATCTTGCTAGCAATCTTCTCTTTCCTCTCTCCTCTTTGACATATCATTTAACATTTGGCAATTGGTTCAGAAAGACGTTAGATGTTACAATAATAACACCGTCAATTAGATAGTGGAAAAATATGGTAGGTTGCCATTCTGCTTCCTGAGTAAACTCGACGATGGTAGGATGAACCAGTTATAGTAGGACATTGTAGTGGTTTAGCTTGGTTTACTATCATAGTCATCTTTTCCACTTTCCAGATCATAGGGACATGCTTACTTTTGATTTAAGTGCCATATTGCAAAGACTTTGTCTCTGTTATGTTTACCAAGGAGCTGTTGAATGATAGTTTCGTCCCATCATGCATTTCTTTGTTAGAAGTAAAAGTACATACCAGTCGTTACAACTACCTTAAACAGTAAAATCATAATTAATATAACTATATACAAAAATTGAGTTCATTTCATTTTCTTGAATTTGGACATAAAATAATAATTCTCCAGTTGTCTTTTTAACTCTGCGGTGTATGTTAGGAAATGGAAATATGGAAATTATTGTCATAGGTGGTATTTATAAATTGTCAGCGACATGAGGGTAATTATATAATTATTTAAAATACAAATTAAACTAATAAAATAGATAAAATACCTTGCGAGTAGGTTTTCTTCGTCAGCAACCTGCAACAGAAACAAAAATAAATTATTATGTCAACGCCCAAACCGTTGCGGCCACCTTTTTTTTTTTTTTTTTTTTTTTTTTTTTTTTTTTTTTTTTTTTTTTTTTTTTTTTGGCTCGCTCTGGTCGTGTCGCTTCAGATTTCATTATACGAGTGTTTCCAAGGCAGAATTTTTTGTGAACGGATGGACCGCTGTTCTCTGGTTCAGGGACCAGCAGTACTGATAAAAATGCTCGCGAAATTCGTCATCTTCTGAAATTTAAAATATAAAAACACCCCGTCATTAACTGAAATCGTAAAACGACGGACTCCTAGTAAACTTTGTGTCAGCCAACTGGGATTCTCGCCTTTTCACAATAGAACAGAAGTCGGGAGGTTTCCACTTCTGACTGGTGTTTACAGACCGATTTGCATAAGAAGAGGGTTCATTTAACATGGATATGTTTCAGGCTGAATGTACAATTTTTTTGCATGGCCATTTTACGTCATCAATTCGCGTTAGAGATGAGTACACATGAGTTGGGTTAGATCAGGTTAGGCGAGAGAGGTACAGGTTTACAGTTTATGTTTAAGGTTAAGTTAGGTTAGGAAGAGACAACATTACAGCATAAGTAGGTTATAGGTTATATCGGGCAACTTAATAAGAAATGTTCGAACATTTTGTATTTCCAGAAGTTTATAGACTGAACTGATTTCTAGTATTAATATTATAACAACTTTTAAAAATAATTTTGGGGACCGCGGTAGCCGAGTGGTTAGCATAAGAGACACTCACCCCGCGGTCGTGGGTTCGATTCCCACCGTCGCCTCTGGCCCTTTTTTCCCGATAACCCCCAATTTGAACACACAAGAATTCGTACTATGGCTAATATGCAAGATCATAAGGCAAAAAAAAAAAAAAATAATAATAATAATTTTAATATCTCGGCAACTATTCAATCTCAGCTGTCAAGTTTATGCTTTTATTAAGGTAGAGAAGTTTGAATTCATTTGGTATATATTTCGAATCTACGGGTTGTAATTAGTGTTTTAAATACTATTAACATCAACAGAAAACGTTTGAATCCTAAGTTTCACTGAAAAAGCATCCTTCACTTAACACCACTGTACCACTCATAGAATATACGGTCAAGTTCGACAAGAAAAAAGACATCTGCAGGTCTGCAAACCTAGGACTTAAAAATGTGCAAAGAAAAAATTGAACTTTTGAATCAGAACAGAAGTCGTGAAGTTTAGTTCTGCTAGAACGCTTCAGAACACTTTGCAGAAGAAGAAGTTACATTTAACATGGAGATGTTTTGGGTTGGATAAGCAATTTTCTCGTTATTGATGATTTCGAGGAGGGAGGGTGAACCCGGGATGGCCCAATTGGTGCAATTGGGTCGGTTAGGTTAGCCAGGGGGTAAGGGACAGGTTAAAACAACACAGGTAGGGTTAAGGTAGGTTAGATTAAGTTAAGTTGCGGTTAAGGTTAGGGATGTGTTAGGTTAGATAGGTGTTCGTGACGGATGTGTTTGTGCCGTACACTGTACCCCCTACAACCCCTAGCTTCTGGAAATCCACCAATCGTAACACACTTCCCTCCTTTTTCCTCAAAAACCCATCCCTTCCAGCCTTTTTAGGCTCTCCGCCAGCTCTCGGAGCGAGCACACCTTCTATCGCCCTATCTCCCCAAAAGTGTTGCGCCATAGTAATTCACCTCCGTGTAAAATCGCCGTTTCGTAAAGCTTTATCGCCCATGGATTCCCCTTCAAATCGCCATACGATCTTCACCTCCACGTGCATCCTACCTCCTGACCGCATGGTCCGCAAACCTATCAATGCCATTTTCCCTTAATATCTCATCTCGTTTTTGCATCTATCATCATTATAATCCCAAGAACGAATCATCCATCATTATTCCCGGAAGACGCCATCACCTCACTGGCTACCACCTGGACTGCATCATCTCATTGTCATCGCCACTGGATTTCATCATCCACCATATCATCATCATCATCGATGCTACAGGAACCATGCCGGTGCACTGGCCTATTCACCGCCGAACAACGCACGATATCGCATTCAGGAGACATTCACCGCTTTCCCGTCTTCGTCGCCTTTAGACCGTCATCGCCTTCACATCTCCAATACGATCATCGGCCATCTTGTAAGCCATAGAAATTTCATTAATCAGATTATTCCTTCATTTAACCATTCTTAAACTAACATCTACTCAATCTGGAATCTTCCATTCCCGTTGGTGCCGAAACAATCTTCTTATTAATTTCAACTCCTATGTCCGGCGGTGTAAGTCGGCGCCATTTTGTATTTGGCTGCTGGCGAACAATATGGGTATAGTATAAGGTGGGCGTTGGACTTCGAATCAGTGTAAAATATTGAGAAAGGCATGATTTTAATAAAAATGAACCAATAGGACGAAAACATGAGTACGGATCCAGTAAATGACCCTAGTAATCACTTAAGGTAAGATAGAGAATTTAGGTTGGGTAGTATTACAATCTTAATTAGGTTACATATCCATAAATCAATGTTTTTAAGTAAAGGGAAGAAAATGTACGGATGCAAAGAGTGAATTTTATCTGTCATAGTGGTCTATTTTACCTAGTATTATGTCTAAATATTTTAGAGAACTCTGAGATGTATATCGCTGTTTTGATAGTACTGGTGTCGAAACATGGGTGTATCACTGATTCAGGGGAATCCGAAGAAACACGTAATAGGGAAGGATGGAAGAGGCGAAAACCAAGATTTAACCAGAGGCAACATGACCGTTATTTTTCGACAGTTATCTATCCGTCCCAACGCTGAATATGGTAAAATATCAGTTATGTATATTTATACGAGCGTTACACAAATAATGTTGCTTATTGTGTGCTTCTGCAATTGCGAAGCTTTCTTATCGTTCAAAAAGAAGATGCGAACCCATTTTAAACCTCATCCTTAAACGTTCGACATCATAATGCTGCTCTGAGTGGTTAAACGTTGTAGAAAATTAAAAAGACCTCAACTTGACCCTAAAGGCCTGCGTTTTTCACCTCTTCAGGCCTCTTATAAAAATGAAGACCGGGGTTTCTAGACAATACAGGGAAGCCTTGTGATTGGATTCTGGCACATCCCAGGTCATTTTACGAGCAACAACGTTCCAATCCGCTTGGATTTATTTCCAAAGCAGGAGGTTAAATTGAAAAATAATATACTGGTAAAAATTCTCGTTTATAGTTGATTTATCAACCTATTGATTTTTTTTTTTTTTATCTGCCACTCTTTACAAACAAGATACATATATTGTACTTAATTTCTCTAAAAGCCAAGGTAAACGGAAAGAAAGCGGTTAAGTGATTGTTTTTGTTCAAATAGAAATCAATCAATTATTAAATCGTTTTAATGTTAGAACGGATTTTCGTTGTAGACAGCACAGATAAAATTTTTCCCTTTAATGTTCAATTCTGTTGTAATATCGCTACTTTCTTATTTATAGGGAAAATGTTATATTTTTTCGATGGCCGGCGTACATTTTTGGTGGAAATCTATCACCAAGGGTTGAATATCAAAGAAGTTTTTATTTCCAATAAATCAGTTGGAACTAAAGGCCTCACTGACATTCATCAACCTTTGAAAATGTTATATAAAAAATATATCCTTAAAAAGTATTTACATATTGATGGCAACGAGATTTTAGTTAAGCGGATAAACAGGATCCCAAAGTGGACATGGTACATTTTTCGTACTTTCCAAAAGCATATTAATTTAAAATAGCATTTGTTACATACTGCTTGTACAATATTGGATAAACGGAATTGAAATGTACCCCCGCCCACTGCATAAATAACTCGTGGTCATATTTAATTCGCCCTTTGTGTCCTATAAATAACAATTTACAGGGGTGCCCGGACGGTTTCCCAAGTTTCAACTCCGCGGGCTTCGAAAGGGGTTGGTGAAAAAAAAAACTGCTGTAAATCAGCACTATTAAGCCATAAATACCATAAACTATGGAGACATATGGCTAATATCACCTTATGAAGCATAGCTGAACATTATGTCAAACATTATTGTTGTCGTGAATGGATTTTGTTGCAGTTGAGTAAGGACTGTATAGAAGGGAACACGTTTTTTGAATTTCTACTTTTTTTATCAGAGAATAGTGAAAACAACGAAACCTTTTCTTTTATAGCGTTATTTATATTTTAATTCCTGATTAATCATACTTGCAGTTGCTGCGATATATACGGAGCCTAGGTTGGGTGGGATGGTTTGGAAATACACACAAAGAGCATCGTATATAGAGCAAATGAAAATGATTAATGAAGATATCTTTTTGGTCTCTGTATAAAAATATAACATTCATCCTTACAGCTGGTATGCCATCAACCAAGCCGACCGCTGAAGTTCGCTGATTTACGTCTTAGGTTCTGGCTTTCTTTTATGATAGTGCATATGTTTAAAATGAGCACAGTAGAGTATCTTACCAAACTAAACATTGGGGATGGCTAATTGATTTCTATCGCTTCTTGTCCCACAGGAACAAGAGTAGTATGACGTCTACCAGAACAAATCTGGTCATAGCAGATTCATGCCTCCTTTTGGCCTTCGTTTAAAATTAACGCAGTAGAGCCTAGACTAGACCAATCAATAAATATGTTAGATATTCGGCAAATTTACATCCTGCTATCTTCTTGGCTTCCATTTATAAAGGGCGCAGTACATCCTCTACCAGGCCAATAACTGAAGATGGCCGATTTATATCTATCATTCTGGCCTAATTTTATAATGCATCCGATTATAACGAGCGCAATAAATCCGCTATGAGACGGACCAGTGAAGGTGGTGGATTTCCAGCCACTGCCTCTTCCAGGAGACACAGGAGATGGCAGATTTACATCATATACTTTTCTGGCCAGTTTATAACGAATTCACTACAGGTTGTACCAGACGGCCATGGCAGCTTTACGTCCTACTAACATTCTGGATTACGTTTATACGAGCGCTATACATCCTCCA